ACAAAGCGTATTGCGTTAAGCCGAGAGACATCTTCCTGTGTGTCGCAATCGATTCTGTGAGCACACTTTAAGTATGGGGATTTGGCGTCGTTTGCGACATGCGCAACCAAACGAAACACTTGTAACATCGTCATCCTTTTTCTCCTTCTTGAAAAAAATGAGACACACGTCTTTTTATAATTTCTTCAGCGAAACTAACGGTTTTAAACACATGATTTTTTTTATCTTATCACAATATACAGGATACAGCTACGGTCATCATAACATAAATATTTAACTGCGGTAGAACAATTCGTTTTAGGAGACAAGTTTTCTATTAAGGAAAAAGAAAATTGACTTATTTCCTTTAGCGTTTTTAGTATTCATTGGACAATTTAATGTCAACAATAAAATATGAGGTAAGGTTTTATGATTCAAATAAAATGACATCCAATACTTACCGTGAGTTTCAGACACCAAAATCTCTGTATAAAACATATCGTTTTTCCTGTCTTTGACAAAACAGAGGAAACAATATGTTTGTAAGGGTTTGTTGTATTTTGGTCTCGGGAACGCACAGTCAACCGAACTTATATAAATACTTCTTTTTTTTGTAAACATGGGACATAGTAAGTTATAGTTGTTCTTCTCTGAGCGAAATTTGTAGCATGTATGCGTCAGTAAAAAAAGTCAAACAAACTCCTCAAAATTCTGGACTTTTTTGTACTAAAATCGTTAATTACCTTTTACTTTTGTGTTATGACGAAACCTTATTAAATTCAATAAAGAAAAATTAATATTTTAATATACAATTTCGGAATAAAGGTATTAAATTACTAAAGGCTAAATGTAATTCTTAAAATTGCCGTTGGCGCGTTTTTCCGGAGCTTTTGATGTCTGAAATTGTAATTAAATAGACAGAGACGAAAGATGTAATTAAGGCTAAATGTACAGGATGTTTTGTATTTCATTATTTTTAATTAATCCTTAAAATAAGCGAAAAATAAAATAGGTTTTCCATTTTTGAACGAAAAAGCTGAATCATTTTTAAATGACTTTATATACATCCAATCTATATTTTAAAATAGAGACACAGAAATTTTTATTTAATAAACATCGTTATAATTGTGGGCTCCATATTTATATATACTGTGTACTGATTTAAGATCATTTACCGTTGTTTTCTAAGACCAAAATATCTGTATAAAATGTATGATCATCTTTGACAAAACAGAAGTTGTATCAGAAACCCACTATTAGTTACATTTGTAATCTAGATGTTCCGCAATAAAATCGATTTAAGCACTTACTTGAATTAGCCAACACGACTTGATTGATATGTGTAACGTAACTTGAGAGCGATAGACCGCTCTAATGGTTCAAGGCCGGCGAGATTTTGCGGTGTCGTGTCTAGACAACAACGTAAGCACTGATTCATTGAACGCTTAGTATGATGACGTCACTTATACACGGAAGGCATTTCTCAATGGCATAACTTTTTTTTGTAATACGATTTTACGTTAAAGGTATACAGAAGGTAAGACGAGAGAGATATTGCTATCTCAGGTTTTTGAAAGGAAATGAAAGGTTTGTTTTTTTTGTATTGAGTAGGCCCCGAAACTACCGTACTGATTTGAAAAATTCTTTCACTGTTGGGAAGCTACGCTCGCCCCAGTTGACATAGACTATATTTATTACTAAACTAGCTGTCGCCCGCGACTCTTTTTCCGTGGAAATTAAAAATACTCAAAAAGTAGCCTATGTATTCTTCCAAGACCTTGTTCTATAACTGTGCAAAATTTCATCAGAATCCGTGTAGCAGTTCCGGAGATACCGTCAAACAAACATCCAACTATCTAAACTTTCGCCTTTATAATATTAGCAAGATTAGGAAGATTGTATTTTATTTTCGCGCGGACGTAGTCGCGGGCAACTGTTATGTCTTATGTTCCTATGTATACGTGTTAAATATTGCACGTAGCAAATAGGTTTCTTTGATATATTTTCTTATCGTTTCCATTGACATTTAAACAAGGCACTTCATTATCATTCCAGTTCGGTTGTTAAAAAGTTCTTTGGTATAATTGCGCACCGTTGACCGAGTTACAGTTGGCTTGATTAATTAAACTAGTTTTTATCTTATATTTCTTGTACTTGAATTTATTTACGTAATATATAGTATGTTAAGTGAAATATCTATACTTAACTTCGCTGTTTCAAACTGTACATACTTATTCGTGCTACTGAGATCCGCAAAGCTTAGTCCTCTCTTGTAAAATGAAGGGTTACATTTATGTTTTCTTCCAATCATAAGCGTAAATATTTATATTTTTAGACATTATTAATAAGAATCCTTTGGCTCGAATGGCGCGTTTTCATTACAAAGTCAAGTGTCAGAATGATTAGTGAGGGAACGTAAACGTCGACATTTTAGTAAGGCTAATGCTGCGTTAGTATACCGGCACATCGCCGGACCTTCCTAACAGTACTTTTAAAAATGTTTTTATATCTTGGTTTTTGAAGTGGAAAATAATTTATTGAACGAAAAACATACTGTGTTATTTCAATGTGTCGATCTTCTATCACAGGTAAACGTTAGATGCCGTAAGCTTCTCATTTTTAAGCCATTAAACACTCTTTCAAGGCTCACTTATTCTGAATGCGTACTTTAGGTGATATCCCGTCTTAAGAGCAGACGCCTTCACATTTGAGTACACGTAAATATATATACAAGTTGCTAATACCTTGGCACCCTCGTGATATCGATTTTTTCGATGACTTGAATGAAAATGTTTTAGTGATGTGCCGCAATCGAAGTTCTTATCGATGAATTTTAAACAGTATTGACTATTGTTAATTTTGTTTTTACTCGAATTATGTAACTTTAAGTAGCCAAATGAAATCGTTAAAATAGTGAAGTGATTGCTGCCCATAGACATCTGCAATTAATAATGCGTTTGATAAGTTAATTGTTTGTAAATTATACTATACTAATTTTTGCCCTCGACTACGTCTGCGCGGAATTTAATAAGCAATAAAAAATAGCTTATGTTACTCAGTGATAATGTAATAATTAATAATTTTAATAGTAAAATAATTTTTGAAATCGGTTTAGTAGTTTTTGAATTTATTCGATACGTACAAAAGTACAAATCTCTCGTCTTTATAATATCAGTATAGATTAAGTGCCGCCGGTGATTCGGTCCGTGCGGAATTTTAAAAAAATCTTAATTAGTAGATTGTGTCCAGGCTATGTTCTACATCGGTACCAAATTTCAGCGAGATCCATATAGCCCTTCTCAAAATACCTTCTACGTACATCCATTCAAACGTTCGCATTTATAGTATTAGTAAGTTGTATTGATTGATTCCTTTTTAATGTTGTTTCATTTGATGTTTATAGTCCGAAACTAAGCTGTTTTAATAGAGTGAAGATATAAGAAGATTGCAAAATACAGTATGATAAAATTAACATTTTAGTACATTAGCTTTAACAATGAGTTAGATAAGCAGCTAGCCTTGGCTCCGGTAACTTCCTATAAGACAGGAAGTGGGACATTTGCATTTTATGTTAGTAATTTACATTCCAATCATATCGACAATCTCATCAATTAATCTATGTCTAATGTACTGGGAAGCTATTTTATCGTAGACTAACTGTCGCCCGCGACTCCGTCCGCGCGGAATTAACTATTAGTCGCAGCGTTATGTTATATAACCTAGAGGACTATATAAATGGACTATTCAACAAAAGAAGAATTTTTCAAATCGGACCAATAGTTCCAAACAAACAAACTCTTCTGTTTTATAATATTAGTATTGATTTTATATAATAACGACATCTCGCAGGGAGGCAACGATTGTTTTTCTGTCGACGTTTTGCCAGTGGAAACGGACTGTTATGATAGTTTACGAGATATTTGATTTTAATTAAAAATTGTAAAGAAATGTTATGAGATATTTGTATTTCCTTTATGCAGCTCGCAAATATCAATATTCGTTAAAACACTATTGGCACTTATCTTGATGACATTTTGTCCTTGTTAAATGAAGGTTTAGTTATAAAATTAAAAGCAAGTGACGTAACTCCTACATATGAGGCATTTAACTATAAAAACCTTTTAGCTTAACAAGAAAAGTTTACGCTCATGAACTATGGCCGTAACCTTTTTCAGCGTTAGTCGATTAAAAATAGAAAACTCGATAGCAAGCATGCGCATGTTTATATGTGCGAAACACGGCTCTTACGTTGTAGCGTTGACTGGACGTCGCTGCTGTTATGGAACTTGGTTAGTTTTTTATTTTTAAAAAGTTTTCTAACGTGCCAGTATTAATTGACTATAGAGTTTTTAATTGGTTTATTGCAGGATTCTTGTAAGACTTTTGGTTTGATACTCGTACGTACAGCTGTAGAAAGGACTTTGCCTTTTTTATGTTCATTTTGTTTTTTATGTCTTACGTATTTTAACCAGTCTGTAAAAACAGCTGTTTCGTGTTTTACTTTTAACACATTGACTGCCACCGACTCGCCTTGCGACTTTCATCTTAGTGATTTTCGATTTTTTGTCATCAGGTATCCAACATGCGATCGGTGGTCTCGCCTCGAAGCCGGAGCGTGATCTACTTATGCAGGACTTCATGACGGTAGAAACAACAAACTTCCCACACGAAGGTTCCAACCACACCCCCGCCCATCACTACTCTGAGTTCAAGTTTAAAACGTACGCTCCAATCGCGTTCAGATACTTTAGAGATCTCTTCGGCATACAGCCGGATGATTTCTTGGTAAGTATTCAATTGTTTTAAAATAATAGTCCAACAACCTTATAGAAAAACAAACAAACATCATGTAGAAGGCGGCCATTACACTTTTATTATTTCATTTTAAATGTTATTTTGTAGATTTTGCAAATATTTCTTTGAGTTTGATGTAGTTTTGTACAATTTTTAAGTTTTCATTTGGATAACATTATAGTAATTACTTTAGTGCAATATCAAGCGAATTAACGATCAGTTGATTGATTTTACTACATGTAAACGTAGTTGTATTGATACAAAATCGATTTCATTATCGAAGTATTTTGATTGGAACTCGATTAAATTAAACGATCGTGTGTAAACATTCATTGCCACCTACTCGCCATGCGAGTTCACTTGAACACATAAATGAATAACGGTAGCATTCAAAGTGTTAACATGTGTAATTGGTATATTGAGAATGCAACAAAATTTCTCTTGAAATTATAAAAAAAAAAACTTTATTTCATAGGATTATTAAACGTTATTTTTCGTATATATTAAATAACATAACAAATAACAAGTATTTGATAATAATCGCTTAGCGGTTAACATATTCTATAATTAACATCATTGTGGTACTGTTCGGTTAGATTTATCTACATGATTGCACTAGCGGTTGATTAGAAGTTGTTTAGCTATAGAGTTGATTTGTTTCGACCAGCGGGACTAGACGAAGTGTGTTCGCTCCGAAGCAATTCCATAGCCAACTTCAAAATTGTATAGAACTGACAAATAAGTCACGTGATTGTCACGCGTCAGTTCTATACATTATTGAAACTAGTTATGGAATCGCTTCGAAGCGAATACACTTTGTCTAGCACCGCAGCTCGACCGTCTTTGACAATCAGGATATTAGACAAGTGGTCAAAATAAAACTATAGTTAAACAAGATTTGATACGATCAGAGGCGCTTCTATCCCGTTTAGTTCTGTCAGAATTATTGTAAAGCCTATATGAGGATAAAAGAAAAAACCAGACATGAACAGAACGAAAAGTACTTTGTGTCAGACATAGTTCCAGTCACGCGGGTGTCAACTCTCGATACGTATCCCACTATTAGTTATTAGTAGGGTCGATTATCGTGCATACGTTACTTAAGAATAACAAATGACAGTTGTTAACTGTTATATTTTCCAGATGTCAATGAGCAGTGCACCATTACGCGAGTTGAGCAACCCCGGCGCGTCCGGCAGCATCTTCTACCTGACCAATGATGACGAGTTCATCATCAAGACAGTGCAGCACAAAGAGGGAGAGTTTCTACAGAAATTGTTGCCCGGATACTACTTAAACCTTGATCAGGTATTAATATTCATCTACATCATCAGCTCGCTATACGTCCCCACTGAGGGGCTCGGAGCCTACCCTTGTGTTGGTTGACTTCACACATATCTTTGAATTTCTTCTCAGATATGTGCAGGTTTCATCTACATATCACTTGAAAAACAGCCCACCTTATTAAAAGCCGTTACCCGTTAAAATATAATTGAAAACTAGCTATCCCGTGATTCCGTCCGCGCGGTATTAAAAAAATAATTGGTAGCCTATTTGTTCTTCCACGATGTTCTACATCTATGCCAAATTTCAGCGAGACTCATTTCCAAATGAATACTTTTCGTCAGCTAGTGATTACGTATTTTAAGTTTATGTCGCAGGCGAAACCAGGACTTTGTCGTTGCCATGGCAACCAGTAGTTATAACTCAGCTCCTTTGTTGTCAGAACCCCCGCACGCTCCTACCAAAGTTCTTCGGTTTATACTGCTACCAATGCAACAGCAAGAACGTGCGGTTGGTCGCAATGAACAACCTGCTGCCCTCCTCCGTCAAGTTGCACCAGAAGTACGATCTCAAAGGATCCACCTACAAGAGGAAGGTAAATGTTTGATAATGATTGACCTTGAACTAAATCTATCAAATCTTTATATACAAATAGTTGATGCCCGCGACTCCGTCCGCGCGGAAAAAAAAAACAAATAAAAGTAATAAATATCCTATGTGTTCTTCCAGGCTATATTCTACATCTATGCCTAATTTAATTTTAACAAACATCCATCCATCCATTCAAGAATTCTCATAATATTAGTAAGACTGGTTTATGTATTAAGCTGCGAATTATATATCACTGCTGATCTCAAGACTCAATAAGTGTTCATTAAGCAGTAGTAATATAATAGTTGCTGGTTTCTGAGACTATAATCTCCGTATAAAACATATCGTCATTCCTGTCATTATTTTAAGCAAAACAGATATAGCAATATGTTTTTAACGGAGATTTTGGTCTCAGAAACCCTCAATTAATGCAACGATTTAAAAAAAAAGTATCAAGCTTTTTTTGAAGTTTTGCTTTAACGAAAATATTTTTCCTTATCAGGCGAGCAAAACGGAACGACAAAAGAATTCACCAACTTACAAAGACTTGGACTTTATGGAGTATCATCCTGAAGGAATCTTTCTAGAAGCTGACACTTACAATGCGCTCATCAAGACGATGCAGAGAGACTGTCGAGTCTTGGAAAGTTTTAAGGTAAGCTTAACATGTAGAAGCAAGAAAGGTGTCCGGTCCACGCTAAATGGTCCGTGGTATCTGTCTACCCCGCTGGGTTTTGAACAGGTTTGAGTTATATTGCAAATTTTTAACGCTACATGACACTCTAATCTAATGTGTGATATGATAAAGTGTCATATACAGGTATTCTAACAAAATTCTCGCAAAGTAAATTCTTGTACATGGATTTACGTATCCAAAATAACAGACGATCGACCTACATATCGTTAAATCTAGATAAAAAAATACCATCTAAAATCTTCCCTAGATGGTAAATAGACGACACTTAACCAGCGTGGTTGTCTATGGCCTAATCACCCTTAACTTAGGGTAGCTGATGATGATGAATTAGACGGCTCTAACTAAGAATCCATAAGAAAAAAACAATCTTTATAAAAGTGTAATCTATCAGTAAATTTATAATTGTTAAAGACGAAAGTTAGGCGTCCATTGGTACCGGACGCACACCACGCACGGATTAAACGGATGCGGACGGTGCGGATGATGGCCGCAGCTTACTTAGCTATACTTAAATAAAGTACATTTTTTTTTTTCATTTTTGTATGATAAAAAAAAATAATTTAATATATCACAGATTATGGATTACTCCCTACTCGTCGGTATTCACAATTTGGATGAGGCTCAAAGAGAGAAGACTGAAGCGAGGAAGAGAACAGAATCTGGACAGAGCGACGGCGAAGATGATGTCGAACCGAAGTCGAGCGGACTCAATAGAACCAGGTAAAGATCTTGGAAACTGGACTAAATATTAATGATTATTGGTTAAGCTGGAGTGATGGCATTCTGCAGCCGGTGGTGTAATGTTTTTTTTTATAAAATATGTAAATAAATGAATATAGAAATATTAATATATTTTAACTAGATGTCGCGCGACACTTCCTCCGCGCGAGATTAAATAAAGATAGTAGCCGTTTCGCAGACATGCGTAAAAAATTTCATAAAAATCGGTCAAAATCAATTTAGATAAGTATGGGAACTAATATCGTTACACGTGAATTTTATATATACGATAAGTACATAAATATTCAAACATTATAAAAGATTATTTAAGTAAATTAAATAAAATTCAGCAAAATAAAGTTAAAATTTTTTGAAAAAGAATAGCTTCGGAATCTCCGATTTAGAGGTGAATACAGGCATTTTGAAATTTATATGAAAAAAAATATATCTTTATATGACTTCATACTTATAATAAAAATACTCTTGCTAGACACTTAAATGTAATATTTAATTAATAGAGAACATAATTAAGGATATATGTATATTTTCAGGAATAGAATACTGTATTATAGTAGGCTATGGTGACGGTATGTCTTTGAAACTTTCAGATCTGAGCAAGGCAAGGAGGATTTCGGGATGCAAGTGAAAAGGACTCAGTACGATATCTGTCTCTTTTATTTATGTACAGTCGAGGACATATATTTCCTACCCACTTCGGTTAAATATTATAAAAAGTTGTTGAATATGGCCTAGTCACCCTTATCTTTGGGAAGGCTCCGAGCCCTTCTTTAAGAATTTAAAGTGAGCTGATGATGATGAATAAAAATTGAAAACTTATGTCAAATATTAAATTATAGCTCTTAAGCTGCAGTGTAAATTCGATCTTAAGTGGGAAGGAAATTAATGTCTTTGACTGTGCAAATTGAATGTTTCGACTAATCACTGACTCGGAACTAATCCATTTTGAAATCTAGAATGTTCTAACATCTGTCTCTGTCTTTCATTTTGTTTTTAAATAATTCTAATATAGATTGTGCATGTATTAATGGCATGTCTATTTGTAACTAAAGTCTTTAAAATGATTTAATAATTCTATTTCATTTTAACTAAAATTTTGATTAAAAAGTAGGATTGGATGTGCTTATTATTGTAAATTGTTAATATATATTTTTTATGATTTATGAGCTTTATGGGGCCTTGCGGATCACGCTGTATACAACAATTCGATTAAAAAGCGTCCGACAAGCCACAGCGAGGTGTTGAATGGAAGTATGGCTTGTCGGTCACATAGTCCGACACGGCCTGATTGAAACATTAGCTTGTCATGGCAGCTAACGTGTTAAAAGAAGTTCCTTTAGGCAAGGTTCCGAAGATACTGACAGCGTTCCCCTTTGAATAGCTAAACTTTAACAGTGGTAGAGCCCGCTTTAACATCTTCGCACGAATCGGCCCGGCGCGCCCGGTGAAATACCACGACCACACAGAAGACAGGCGTGAAGTGGAAGCAATTCCGCGTTTCGTCTGATGAGTGTGCGTCCCGGAGGCCTAATTTAGTCCTCTTTCCTTTCCCATCCTTTTCTTTATAAGGAAAGGATGGGAAGTGGAAGTGGACTTTACGGATGAGAGGATGCATGGAAAGGGAAGATATTTTCTTTCTGTGCATCCTCTCCTCCGTCGATTAAAGGTAGGCAGCGCATATGCAATTGCGTATGTCTATGGGCAGCAGTCACTTCGCTATTTCAGCGATTTCAGGTGGCTGCCCGCTCGTTTGCCACCTTTTGATATAAAAAAAAAACTAATTTTTTGTCCGAGGTTGTTGCCTGCTCTTCGGTCCCTTGTGATGTTGATTAACTTTGTTTCTAATTGTTAAGTGGTAATGCATTAACATTTGCGGTACTTATGGTTGTATGTATTGTGTATGAATGTTGTATGATGCAGGTCTATCAACCGGCAGCGGCTGGTGGCGCATTCCACGGCGATGGAGAGCATCCAGGCGGAGAGTGAACCCATTGATGAGGAGGAGGATGTGCCGTAAGATATATCAAAATTATTTATACAGCCTATCTGAATTATTACAAGTTTATATATGTATATCTGAATGAAAATCTTTTTAATATTAGTTCTTTTTTTTCATTTAACCTTAATTGTTTTATGTCAGTGTATAAATTAATTGCGTGAGTTGAAATTGACAGTTTCGCAGATTTTGGTTTTTATAATAGTAGATGATTTTTTTTTTCGTATTTTACGGTGACACACGATCAAGTGGCCACCTGAATTCGTTGAAAAGAAAAGCGATCACTGCCCATAAATATCGTAGCTGTTGCGTTATAGGCGTTTCCTCTTCCCTCAAAGTCACTTTCCATTTCTATCCCTTATAAGAAAAAGTTGGGAAGGGAAAAAGGATTAGGCCTCCGGTACGCAAGCCCATCAGATTGTACGTGGAATTGCTTCCACTTAAGACATGTCTTCTGTGAGGTGTGGCCATTATTAAACGTTTAGAAGAAGTAAAGTATAGTTTGAATATAAATTTCTATTGGTGTATGTACGCAGGCCGGGCGGCATTCCGGCGCGGAACGCTCGCGGCGAGCGGCTGCTTCTCTTCCTCGGCATCATCGACATCCTACAGTCTTACCGTCTGCGCAAGAAGCTCGAGCACACCTGGAAGAGCATGATACACGACGGAGTGAGTACCGCTTACACACCACTGGCCCACAACTGTCACACCACTGTCACACCGCTGACATACCACTGGCCCACAACTGTCACACCACTGTCACACCACTGACACACCACTGTCACACCACTGTCACACCACTGTCACACCACTGACACACCACTGTCACACCACTGTCACACCACTGACACACCACTGTCACACCACTGTCATACCGCTGACATACCACTGGCCCAAAACTGTCACGCCACAAAAAGTTGAAAAATAGCCTATAAGTTAATTAGTTATTTATAACTTCCCTTCGAAGTCTCGTCAAAATCGATCCAGACGTTCCAGAGATTACCGGGTCCCGGAACAACCGCGGTCTTGCGGACAAACATACTATAGAAAAATTTTTTTTTTTTAATAGTAGTTTGAACAAAATATGAAAAAATTTCAATATTACATACAGACACTCTTACTTTATTATTATCTATAGAATATAGTGACTGTTCTGTGGTGGTGTGTGGAAACCCTTGATATGATAATTTAGATGTAAAATTTAATGTTTTCAGGACACAGTTTCAGTGCACAGACCGAGCTTCTATGCGCAAAGGTTTCTAGACTTCATGGGAAAAACTGTATTTAAGAAAATACCTTCGTGTGAGTACATTTTTATACTTATTTATGTAACATGTTAATTCTTTGAACATAACTTTTACAGGAATTACCATGGGTTTCTGAGACTAAAATCTCTGTATAAAACATAGCGTCATTATCTTTGACAAAATTGAGGTATGGTTTAAACCAGTGGTTCCCAAACTTATTTTGACTAATGCCCACTTTGAGAATAAATATTTTTTTAGCGCCCCCATATTTTCACATTTTTAAAAACCACTATAACTTCAAATTAAATTAATTAATTATTGTGACCTATATATGTATATTAACGGAGAATTCTAAACGAAACTTTTACTATAACCCGCAACTTGAGACCTGCAGCGCCCACAAGGGGGCGTTATCGTCCACTTTGGTAAAGACTGTTTTAAACGGAGGTTTAGGCCTCAGAAACCCACGGTTATATGTTAAACAAATAAAAAATTATTAAGAAAATTAACATAATAGCAGGAATTAATATGTCAATCAGATGTCTTTTCTTTTCCTTTTCTAAGTTATCTTTCTAATCTTATCTTTGCAAGTTGTCATCCATTATTAGTTGAGAATGTCATTTTGCTACGACTTAGATCGGCTTTAAAAATGATGTGTAGGCGATATAGATTCATTTATCATCTTTAACTGTTGTACACAGAGTTGTTAATTGTAACACTAAGTGACAACTTAAAGACTCTGAGTACAGCAGTTAGATCCCTTGATGTGCTCTATGTAATAACTAACTCTATGTTATAATTTTTATGTTATAATCAAAAATTTACTAAATGCTTTCGGAAGGTTTGTAAGTGAAGGAAAATTTAACTATGTATAATATTATATATTTATGTTTAGGAAATCAAATTTCAAACAAAGAAATTTTTTTTTTTCGAATTTTCTAACACATTCAATGTCATTACTATTTTTAACTGTAAATGTAAAGTTGCTGGCAAATCGGTAGCATTGAACGTGTTAACATTTCGTAAATTAAAGCAGAGTATTAAAATATCTATGTTTAAATTTCTCTAACACGTTATATATTTTATTGGTTTAATTCGTCCATTTCGCTTTTACCTCATGTTTTCCATTCCACATCCCTCATCCATCTTAATATTGAATAAATTTAAATTATTTTCTTTTGTATAAGTATTAATTTTATCAGTACACTTAGTTCCTCGATATTTTTTTAAATAGAAAATTTAAAAAATGCAATTTTATTCAATAGAATCTCTTTAAAGCATTATATTAGTTTTAAAAATATAGAAAATATGTAAAAAAATCTTTTCGAATAGAATATTTCCTTACAAATTATTATTAAAAATGTCCTAAATATTTACCTTGTCTCCTTTTATATACCTATCATATAACATCTATGCTTTAATTAACAACTAAACGCAAATAACAAGAGCTCAATTGTTGGCCAGTGGACCTGCCCGAGATCAAAGGCAACCACCGCAAGTTCCGCACCCTGGTCACGAGCTACATAGGTACTGTAGGGCCGCGACTTCGCGCTGTTTTATATGTCTTTTGTGTGCGTCTTTACCCTGTCGCAGTCTTACTTGATCGGAGTTAAGTTAGACCTGTTTGATAAAGTACAGTCGGAAAAAATCGACGCATTAAAAACATTTTTTTGTTAAATGTTCACTATTAATAGAAAATATCTCAAATGGACAAAATTGAATCTTTGTCCTTTGAAATAAATTACATTTAGTAAAATTATATAATTTGAAAATTAACAAACGTTTAAATAACCTCGTTAGTATTAATTAATTAATTACAACTGTTGAAAAATTTTTTTTGGCGACTGTACATTTTTTAAAAATTTCTTGAAAACGTCATCCTTTTCAAGTAAGATTGTGGTAATTTGTAGTATAGGGGCGGGTGTTGGTGTATTAAAATTACTAATTTTAGTATAATTTGTCATGTTTTCATATTACTACTATAGTCCGTTCGCGTTAAGAAAATAGTGAGTAATCGTTGTCCACCGGCCTTTCCACGCCCCGCAGTCAATTAAAATGCAAGAAATTAAAAAAATCGAGTACACATTGTCCAGTTGAAGTCAGACCTTCGAACAGAATGGTTGTGTATTTTGCGTGTTACTCGTTCAACATTAAATTTTGAAAATGAATACCTCACATATTGGAAAGAACAAAAGTGGATCAATAATCCATAGCGGAGAGAGACGCGTAATTTACAATGTTTATATTTATTACAATTTTTACTCCACTGTGAATACACCTTTACCCTGTAGTTGCACTGATCAATCACTATTTTCTTAACGTGAACGGACTAAAGTAGTATAGAAGTTGATAGTACTTTCTTGGTAGTTTTATCTGTAGATTAAAAAATAACTATTTGTCTATTAAATTCCTTAAATACAGTTATATTGTGTTTGTCTATGCTTCAAATTATAAACCTATATTGTATTTGTTTAGAAGTCATATATATGTAAAAATAGCTTGTTCTTGAAATCTAGTCCATTAATTTAAAAAAAAATCATTATCTTGTTTGAGGATATATGACCTAATTGTTTAATAGATAAAGCTAGTTTTCTTAAGTATTATGAATAACTTTCTATTATTTCTAATAATATGTATTTAAAATCAGTTTTAAGATAAAATATTGAATAAATTTCTTAACGAAGCCACCAACACCCTAACCTTTATTTTAGTAGGCGTTTTTTTATGTTCGTGAATGTGATATTGTTAACGTCTAAATTTTCTTTTATATTAAGTTCAACAAAGCAATATTTTAAATGCATTTTTGTCTTAGGCATGTATGAGTAAAAGTTAATAATTTTTTTTAATGCAGTTTTTTATGTTTTTTTTTATTTTCAAAAATATTGACACTGGCATGACAATATTTTGTAATAAGGTAATTTTAAAGTCATGCACGCCCCCCATTCCCCCCTGATTTTATGAATGTTGCCATATGAAAATAATATCTGTGTTTTTTTTCCATTTTTTCTTTCAAACAATTGTCCGTAATCGGATTCTCGCGCGCGTCACTGGAGGTCTGAGTAAGTCTAAGGATTGATGGATTGATTGTCCGTTACAAGCATGATAATGTGATCGTTCGCCGTATTGCCTGGAACCTTCTTTGTCCTTTCATACAGTCATTGTCTCTTCGAAAACGTTTAGTGCAAAAACAAAAAAAAATTACAAAAAAAAATTGTCTTCTATTTTCTTACATATTTTAACAATATTGCTATTAATATGCATCTAAACGTTTTCTTTTTTTTTATTTGTTGGTGTTTCAGCGTTGTACCACATGTCAGTGGCTCCATCGACAATTTTTTGTGTTTTTTTTCCATTTCCCCGGTAGTTAGTGGCCTGGATTGTAGTTTTCATACTTGCTATGATTTTTTAAGCACTACTTTCGATTTTGAATTTTTTAAATCGATTTTCTTTTTCAAAAATTCTAACAATGATTAAAGGAAACTCTTTTCTCATTCTGATACAAATTCTGAATTATTAAGTACACGACAATTCTCTTGGGCATGTCTCTATCTGATTTTTTTTAATAACTATTTTTATTTTAAAATAGCTTTTAAATAAAAAAGTTATAATTTGCTACGCCTATGGAATAAATATTTTGCAAAGCTTAAATTTTTTATTCAATAGTTTTTATACACTATATTTTTTTTTTAATTTTTTATTTTTTAGCTTGAAGTATCGTGATGTGATTTGAAATTAATTTTGTAAATACTTATTCGAACATTATTTAAATTAGTAATACCATCACGATACTTTGTATAAGGCTATGAAAGAATAATGTGATTTTAATGTTTAAATGTTTTGTAGCCCTGAAACACTCACCTTCGAAGAGGAAAAGCATCGCCAAGCCGATTAAGCCATTGGAAGAAATTGATACGCCAGGTAATTTTTTTTTTTAAGTAGAGTACTCGTAATACTAATAATGTAGTGGTTAGATTAACAAAATTAATTTAAGTTAAATACGGGTAGCTAGGTTACCTATTCCTAACATTAAGTGAATGCGACAGTATTTTTTGGTACTTATTTATTATACATTTCAGTTTATTTTTGTTCCCACCCCACATCCTGTCCGGTGTATGCGACCTATTTGATGTTTTTATTTTTTTTTCCGACTACAAAAGGTTTTTTCATTTTTTTTAATATGATGATTTACCCTTTTGACTCTCCGCGTGTTTAGTGTTCTGCAACGCTACGCATTTTTGTGACGTTTAATTTATACGTGCTAACGGTGTTGGTCAGTGTGTAAGCCGATGGTAACGGCAAGGTTCAGCTGCCTGTCGGGTGAAAATAAACTGAAATGTATCACCAAAGCAAAACCAAAGAGCCTTGTGTTACTTTTAACATGGCCGTCTGTTACGCAGGGCGAAAACTCGTCGGCAGAACGATTAAGGACTATAACCCTGAAATACTTCTAAGGCAAACGTCCCGATTGTCTCCGAGATCTTCCTTAAGATCTAGCATGAGTGACTTTACCGATACGACAATATCGACGTGGAACCAGAAGCCGCGCATCCCCCAGATACCAACAGAGTACCCATCGGTGCTATCCGACAGATTGAAGATAATCGACCGTGACCGTATCGGCACTTTCCAAAGACGCACAGACTTTGACACTTCCAATTTAACGTCCAGAGAAGCCGGACCCTCATTCGCGGACAATGTGTACAGATCTTCGATTCAAGATAGAATGGAATCATTATCAGATCAATTAACTAAAGTCTTGTGCACCGGAGCTGGAAGTACACATATAAACGGCAGTCTGGCCGACAGCGGCATACAGACTGACAATACCAGTACGAGCGTACCACAAATATACATAGCCGAACCTCATACAACCTTCCCACCAGTTATCAAGATACTAAAAGACGCCGCTGTTGATACTAGAAACGAGAACAATCTTCAAGATATACCCTTCATCGATGAAGACGATGAAGAGAAGCAAAAGAGACGGTCGAACATTCTAGAGAAACACAAGAGCATGTCTAATATACCAGAGAAGATTGACGAGGTCAGCTCGATAGAACACTCAAACGAGAGACTATCGAGTAGCCTAAACAGAGCTAAATCTCCAACTTTTGTGGAGAAATTCAAGAAATTCTTCATGGATATTGGATTAGTTAAGACAGACAGTGCATCGATATCAGAAACGCCACTAAGGGAACCCAGCACGTTACCTAAAAGTCTGAACTCCAGTTACAGAACGAGAAGTGTAACTCCAATAAGATCGGAAGCAAGAGAAGCATCCACTTTACCGAAAGATATGAGGTTTCGTAAAGTAAGATCAACTCAAACCGTCTATATAAGACCGGAGTCCCCAATTCCAATAATAAATAGTGACGTTGGAAGTCAAACAAACGAACATGTATCGGTTGTACAATTGAACGGTGATGAACATATAAGAGATTCAGAATCTGAGAGATATATTAAAGAGGTTGTATATGTAAGGAGTTTGGATAAAGCTGAAATATATTCTGGCAATGATAGTGGTAGCACCATAATTATTGTACCACCAGCTGATTGAAGACATTAGAACCTTTATGGTTTAAATTTATATTTGTTGAATGTCAAGGAGTTGCCAAATTGCAATTGTAATGTCTGGCTGAATATGATTCTTATATTATTACTAAATGAGTTTGGAAGTGGTTTTCAGAGATCAAAATATCCATTTAAAATATTGTTATCTGTCTTGTCTCATCTCTATGGTTTTATATGGAGATTTTGGTCTCGGAAGTTCGCAAACCCACGGTTAGTCTTTTGTTTATTATTTTCGTTTGAATATTCAGTTGGATACTGTCGATATGTGAAAGAAAATTGTATTTTTAAATTTTGCTTCAAGTAAAAATAATGCAATAATTTTTAGGGTTTCAAAAAGTTTTTATTTGACTTTAAAATTGGAATGTTCTTTTCTGAGGTTTTAAGCAGATCCTGACAATATTTATGTAGATATTTTCTCCGATTTGTGTAATATTTTTTTTTTAATTTATTTGATTCACGATGTTTTATAATTTGTATCCAAATAAGGTTAGAAACTGATTTTTTAATTTTTTCTATTTAATAACACGTTAAAATGATTTAATTTATATTTTTATTGATAATAATTTGAACACAAGATTTTTTTTTAAATTTTTATTAGCTAATTTCTAATGTTGTATACGTTATGTTGATTTTTTTTTGTCCCCATATAAAAGATATTTGTAATATAGTGTTTTTAAAACGAATAATTGGTAAATAAATAATTTAAAATATGACGTATCATTAGCCACCGAGTAATTGAATATTTATTTGCTGGGCAAATCATTTTTTTCTTTATTTGATACATTATGTTACATTCCTTACACTGAAAAAAAATCTGTCACAATATTTTTTTTAATAATTTATGGTTTTTTATTTTTTAAATAATTAAATACATGTATGTAAAGGCATCTGAACAATGAATGCAATTGCTTATAAAAATACAGTAATATCAATTTAAAACTCTGCCTCAAGAAAATAATTTTTTTTATTGCAAAGGGCGTCTATTACTTAATTTTTTTTTTTTAATTTGAATTTAATAAAACTTTAAAGGTTTTAAGAAATATAGTAAAGCCCTTCAATTGACATTGTTCTGTATCAATGTAATTTAAAAGATTGAAATTTCCAGTTTTTTCAATTCGTTTATTAATTATTTTTGTCCTTTATCTTTGACATAGTGAGATAAACCACTAATCTTATGAAGTCAACTATATTTAGACAACTAGAAACTGACCTTGAGAGATTTTGTACGGATGATTTGCGTTGAACGTTTTATGGATGAAATGACTAAGCGAAAAACAGCCTTATTTCAACGGACTAAGGTAGACTTTCCTCTTTACCTTCCTTTTTGTTAGGAATTATTTAATATCCTTCCTTTTAATATTACTTATATGTTTTGTTATGTATTAGAACATGATATATACGGGCCTTATATTAAATTATATTCATACAATCTGCTTCATTATTCTTAAAGGTACATGTCCATTGTCTCGCGTCGCACACACCGAACACGGCCGTCAACGGATTTTAATTTGCTTTTTAAATACAAAGCAAATCCATTTTATCCGTGCGTGCAATACGTCCGGCGCGGGACAATGGATACTTACCTAAATAGTTACCCTATTAGACTATTCTCGTATGTCAAAAACCAGTTTAAACTAATTTATTCTTAGTAATATTAATATATAAGAGGGATTTGTATATAATGAATACCAAATATATTTGTGAATTGTTTGCTACTATGTTGAATGTTGTATATTGAATGTGCTTCTCTTCCTATGTGTATGATAGGGTTTTATGTATATAATGCAATAGCACACCTCAAATGGATCTTAATGGATATTTATTAATGTTGAAATAAATGAGATTTATACTTTATTATGTTTTATTTTTTAAATTTCTCGATCATAGTGTGTCTCTTAAAGAATCCATAATACTTGAGTGTTTGTGGATTTTGTTTGAATATTTTACACACGCTCTGGGATTTTATTCGTCAATCGCCTTCCATTATTACCTCAGATTAAGACTTGTCAAAAGGGTTAAAAATTATAGAAATAAAAAATATATATGTCACGTTCCAATTTACATCTAATTTTAAATAAAGTATGTTGACAAGTCTATGATAGCATGAAATGTGACAGTTACAAATGATATAAAATAGGGTTGCCATAATTTATTTATTTAGTGTTGCCATTTTATAACATATTCAAAAGATGTCGAGAATTAAAGTAACGACTTTATGTGTGATGTTATTTGTATGAATTTGAATGTTTTGCACGCTTTCTATGGATTAGGTGCGGCAAGCTCTAGTGGCGCCGTCAAAGCAGGTGAGACTGATATTATGTTTGAATATATAACTGTAAATTAATTGCTATATATTTCGTGTATATAAGAATATATGCGCTCAATAAAAGTGCTATTGCTTTTATTATATGTATGTAAAAAATCTGTGCTTTTTTTAAAAACGTAAACGTTTACGATCCCAATAATTAATATTATTGTTGTTGATTAAAGCAGTTGCTATAAAAGTATTAAATTTAGTCTATTTTTCTATTATAAGTAACTTTAACCTTAATTGTATCAATTTTGTTTTCATGCTGCTATTGACCTATCGGATCTTTTACTATTGGGTATCGTTTTACTTTTCACTCTCTCCTACAAATCTGCATGCTGTTGTTTTATTTCATCTATGTTCAATAATTAATATCAATGCACCAATAATAAATACGTTCCTTTGGCGGTCAAGCTCCATCTAAAAAATATAAATACAAACACACTATTTTGGACATATAATTTATCTTATTCAACTATCGTAACTAACTACGCTTCCATTTTGAACACAAAAAAAATAATATTTTTTATTTGTTATACTTATATTTGTTAATATTTTCCTTGATTCGTGCCAAATCTGTTTATATACAATTTTATTCGTATTAAAATAAAACCTATACAAATATTTCGAGTGTTTTTATGTCCCTTCAGTCTCCCTATCTGACGTCACAACGCATATAACGCCTACATCGGTGACGTCACCAGTGTCAACCGCAGCGAAGGTCACACAGATATCCACAAAGACAACTTTAGAACCAGACGTAGCTTTCCCAGCGGTGTTAAAAGGATCTCAAAAGCAGAGGGTACCGCCCCCCGTGCCTCCCAGAGGATCCCCGAAGGCAAAACGCGGGGGTCACTCTCAATCCGGTCATGAACCTAAAGGTGATTATTCAACTTTAAACGTATCGGCCAACGACAATCCTTTAAAACGTATTGCAAGTAGTGATGATGATTTTGGCTTTTATGGGCATGATGTTAAATTTAAAGAAATTAGTGCATGCCGTGTTGCAACTTCTATGTCCAATTATTCAGATAGAATTCCAAAATTAGGAGGTTCTAATGACTATTTAAATTATGTCGAAGATGAAGACATTGTAACTAATAGAACAAATTCCGGTAAAGATTTGGTCGCCCAAAGAAATATGATGGCAAAGTTTAATATTGACAAAGTCGTGAGAGAACATTTGGATACAGGAGATTACGATGGGATATCATTTACTGAGTCCAGTGATGAGGAAAGTATCATTGCTGTCGAAGTCAATGATTACGGCGATGATAGTGACGAAAAAGTTACCTCAAGCAGTCCTAAGGTTACCTCAAAATCTAAAAATCCTCTGCACTTCATTATCAGACAAAAGAAGCAGCCAAAGAAAGAAATCAAATCAACACCAAAAATAGTTAAAAATTCATCAAGTGACTCATCTCCTGATATAGTTCAACAACGTCCAGTATCAAAACCTCTTATTAAAACGATACCATTGAAAAAAGAACCAGAGAAAAATATCGATAATGATGTTGATGCAAGCAAAAGTTCTTCTAAACCTGGATTAATGTATGGTCTATCAAAGAAATTTAATTTCAATCAATCTAAAAAAGAGAAACCTCGTGACAAAGAACCACAGAAAATTAAACCAAAAATCGAGATTAGAACTTATAGCGAAGAGCATTCAGAAGGAGTGACTAAAGATGTTGTTTTCGGTACTAAAGCAAAATCAAAAATAGACATGTTTCAAAAGAATATAAAGGAGATGCAAGCAGATGATAACGAACCAGGTTATACACCTTCTGCAGCAACAGCAAAGCCAAGAAGACCACCAACGATAAGACGACGTGATAAAGTCAGTGAAACTAAGAAGATATTTGAAAAACCTCCAGCTCCAAAACCGCCAATATTCAGAGATCCAAAACCTAATATATCTAATGTCACAAATGAAAAGCCCATAGCACCCAAGCCTTTTAGTGGCAATGTACACGATAAAATAAGAAAGTTCACAGTAGTTCCTGTACCTGAACCTAAGACCTATCCAAAACCACCAGCTCCAAAACTCAGACAAAGTTTCAAAAGGAAACCAGAAAGGAATAAATTTATGGTAGTGACAAAAGACGTGGAAGAATACGTGTAGCTTAATTTGAGAACATGAAACCAAAAGTGCCTTTTGTACCACATTAACGTTACCGCATATTGTGTGAAATTAACTGAAATATAAAGAAATAACTATGTCGTCTTTTTGCATGGTATTTTGTGATTTTTTTCATATTGTACCCATGTCTAGCTCTATGCTAGTTGTAGACGAAGCTTAATTGTTATTTAAGTGTACTTTCATTCGTGTTGTGTCTTGCATGTGTTATGGAAAACATTTTTTCATACACCTTGAAAAGACGAGCCTTATAGTCTATACACAAACAATTCTTTGCATATCCACTTTTGTCATAGAAACTGTACCTTTGTTATACACATTTGTCATTCTATTTCGTGCTAGTGCATTTTAGTTATCACAATTAACATATTCTAACAAAGTAGTTCGTATTTCATACTTTTATTGCATCAAAAGAAATATGAATGTCATATTTTCGTTCTACCCTCTCGCTAGTGTATTAGCTACAGTAGGATCGTGTAGTAACGCTAGTGTTTCGTCAGCCGCGGGCGTGTGCTGCTCGACCCCGCCGCCGCCGTTCGAGGAAGCGCCACCACCCCGCACCAGCCGGACCAACTCGTCGTCGACAACCTCTTCGAGTGCATCAGGTCGCCGGCGCGGTGCATCCAGCGCGGCTAGCGTCGTTACCACATCCTCTGCTTCGTCTTTAGCATTGACACCCGCAGCGTTAAGCAGTGCGAGGAGTAACGAAGCCAGGTACAGTATTTAAGGCACGCGTCCATTGGTCCGCGCCGGACGCAACGCACTCACGGCCCGCATTTTAATTTGCTTTGTATGATTTTGCATAGCGTTGCGTCCATCATCCGCGTTACCCGCATCGAAATAAGCAAATCCAATTAATCCGCGCGTGCGGTGCTTACGTCGCGGTCCATTGGACGTGTACCATTAAATCCCTTTTCTACTAAGCGACTGAGCGTGATAATTATTTCAAAACCCTGCCAATTGTCAATTGCCCATAACAGTATTCAGGTGCGTTGCGAGACACGATAAAAGTGAAGATTCTAGAACCGAATAATTTTCATGTCCATGTCCATGGGCGTCGTTGAACACCTCGGTGTTCCTGCTGCTCGTTTGCCCCCTTTTGTTATAAAAAAATATATAAAAAGTCGCGTACTTAGGCAGAGGTCGAAAGGAGGAATTGAACCTTTAATTATGTTAATTTGTATTTCGTGTTTCCAGTGTATGTTGGACGCCGCCGGCGTCAGTAGAGGGGTCGACGCCAACTTGGACAGAAGGCACGCCGAGCTTCACCGAGTCTAGTAGTAGTGAACAAGGTTTGTTTCATTTTAAATACTGATTTATATTAATAGAACATGCAATTTTTAATTTTTTGCGACAAATAAATACGTGTACTTATGTGTATTATCTCTAGGCTACCCCATCACCCCCGCACGCGGTGCCACCCCGAATGAGGGTCGTCGCTCCCCCCGCGCGCCGCCGCCTCCTGCACGAATCAACCCCCCAACCACCATCAATTGTCTCACCAGCGAAGTGGTAAGTTGATATCACAGTTACGGATATAAGGTTAAGTAAACGATCGACCAATCACAAAATTTTATCATATTTTTTTTTTAATCTGTGTTAAATTTGAATTTACAATATATAGTCTGTGACTCTGTCAGTCGTTCTAATATAGTCCCAAAAACTTATCTAGCCCGGTAAGAATCTCCATATAAAAAACTAGTATGGCAGAAGAAAATAGTATGACACACTTCTAGACAAGACAAGACAGCTGTAGTGCTTTATGATTTCACTTCTGTCACCGGGCCAGATAAGATTGTCGCATTATAATTCAAGAAACGTCACTAACCTGGCAGCACTAGCCAATACATGGTGGAGGATTCAGTTAACTTTTATTGCAGATTTATTACGTACTAATTGATTGGCAATTATATTGAAAGTAACACTAAATATAATTCAAAAGAAATAAATATTTGAATCGTTAAGTCGTCCAAATCATAGATTAAATATTTCGTTAAAAAAAAATTGCAGTCAATCACTTAGTCGTTATTAATCTATGGGCACTTTGCATTAGTTATGCAAAAGCTTTTATACTAAATTAGTAGATATTAACGGTATTATAAGAAAAAAAATATGGTCATTTATGGAATATATAAATATTAAAAATATATTTTTAATCTACCGTTAGTCTTTACAAAATTTGTTGACGCATATAATGCCTATTTTATGAAACTTATGTATTTATATTTCAGTGCATTTTCTTTATAATAATGCTATATTTTTATTTTGGACGCTGCTTTCATGGTGGATGGTATAGTTGCACTTAAAAGAACGAGTAGAAAAAGATTATAAATGATTAACATATAGCAATATATTATTCAATCGCTTCGAAGTTTTATAACAGTTTTGATGCTAGCTTTTAGATATTTACCCGATTATTAAGAATTTTAAATGTTGATGGTGCTTCCATTTAAGAAGTACGAAATTTCAATGTGGCTCAGAACATTTTTTTAAACCAATTTACGTTAGGATTTTTTTTTATTTCGGTACTTTTGTGTGCTGATAGTTTTAAAGGATTAAAACAAAAAAAGGTTTTATATGATGCGCTCTGGCAGCTTAGAAATTACTTTTAATTTATATTCAAGACTATTTGTGCGAAATAACGTAGCCAATGACTTGTATTGTGGTTTTCAAATATCTTGGCGGCTCGGAACAGCGCACGATTGCAGTAAACAATTTTAGGTATAGTAGCGCGTAAAAGAATGCGTTGCTCACCTTGAGCTGCCAAAGAATTTGAATGATTAATACAGAGTTTATATATTGCAATATATTATGCTTATTCTATACATTTCAATGTAGTCAGCGCTCATCATATATTACGTCAAAATATATAAAAAAGAAATAGATTTGTTGAACTGGTAACATAGATGATTTTATATCTATTTCTCTATTAAAATAGAAGTTATAGATATCCTAAACTCATATATAGCGTGTCCCAAAATTCAACGAAAACTCGGTACTGGTGTATAGACAGGTCGACAACTACATAGGGAAAAATATTTAAAAACTCCCAACTTTTTTTTTGTTTAAAAGTTACATTAACTTTTTAACTTTTCTTATAATTTGACACCCTCCATCATATGATTAGATACTGTGGCTACAAATTTAAACAATACCCTGCATTTTTTTTTGTATTAGCTATACACCAGTACCGACCGGCTTATCGTTGAATTTTGGGACACGCCGTATATTTTAGAAATCGTTTCATCATTATAGTTAATAATTCATTTATTTTTGGATTATTATATTAATAAATAATAATAATAATGGCATTCATTGTTGCCATTCGCTCATTAAATTAAAAAGAAATGTAACAACGATTCAGTAACATATTTTAATATATGCATTTTGAAATTATTAAGAGATATCTTAATGAAATGACTGACACTTGAAATATTTATTTAATCAAAATTATTTAATTATTTTTGGTTGGTAACACTTTTTTTTGTTTTCAAAACATCTGTAGTTTTCATACTACTGTGTACACTTCTTAGTGGTTCTTTTAAATATTACAATTATCGATCTGTTATTGTGTTCTGTTGTTTTCTGAGCCATAATTTTAAATGACAAATATACTTTTAATCATTCATAAAATTGTTTGTTGAAAATGTTAACACGTTTGCATAGTACAAATTGAAATTAAAAACTAGGTTAATTTATATTAATACGTTATTTAATATATCTCGTGGTTTTAGCCAATCGTTTGATCGTAGATTTATGGCCTATAGACAGAGTAACACACATGACGTCTAATTAGTCAAATGATGGCAACACTGAGGAAATTTACCTCTATAAATGGACTGGTTATAAGATGTAGTACTTTGTGCTTATTTGATATTCACCATTTTAGCGCTGTTAGTAGCGGTTTATTGTGATGGCGTGGATTCGAACTAACAACTTTTAGGCATTATTTGTTAGAATCCTTTGGCGTGAATAGCGCGCTTTCGTTACAAAGTGAAGTGTCAGAATGATTACTGAGAGGACATAAACGTCGACATTTTAGTAAGGCTAGTGTTGCGCCAATACACCGGTACAGTGTCGGATTTTCTTCCTAACATAATATATCTATATACATGAAAGAAAGTCGTGTTAGTTACGCTATTTATAATTCAAGAACGGCTTTACCGATATGGCTGAAAATTGGTGAGGAGGTAGCTTAGAGCCAGGAGACGGACATAGGATAATATTTATTCATTTGTTTTTTTTTCCGAATTTATGCCTTGAAGAGCCGCTTTTTATTTAACTTACTAATATTATAAATGCGAATGTTTAGATGGATGGATGGAATGGCTACACTAATTAAGTTTTCTTATATATCCACGCGAATGGAGTCGCGGGCGACAGCTAGTAGGTAGATATAATTAACTGTAATAGAACATCAATAGGAGCGTTTACGAACGTAGCAAAAACTGTCATTACAAAGAAATCGCCTATCCATTTATAGAGACCATACGCCTTCGGAGACTTTGTTTTGCTTCACTATAGTGCTCTGGATTTTGTGTCTATAGGTTATAAATCTATGCATTTAATATATGCTGTGTGTTTTATAGAAAGTTTTTGTAAACGCATGTATTTTTAATAATAACATTTTAAAATATTTAATAGGTTTATAGCATTTTTAGTCGAAATGCTAGTTTTTCGATAGCCACATGGAAATGTCATGACAATATTATAATGATTAGAACGCATTCGTACGGGCGCTTTTTTAACGCCGCGGTTAAACTTAGCGCTAGCGTCTCTCGAGCGATGAACTCTTAAAAATCAGTCTTGTGTCTTTGGTCAAGTACTCAAAATGAAACACTGCGCGATAAAAAAGCGTCTCGTTTTAAACGCGCTTCGTATGAACAGTTACATGGAAATGTGTTTGTTCTATTTGAGCGCTTTATTAGCGCGCGTTAAAAACACGCCCGTACGAATGGGTAAAGCCTGCTAATTCTTCCCAATGAAGACATTTAACAATCCGCAGTATATTATCCAAGGTTCGTTCCAAACTTAAACAGTGTAAGCAAAAAAGGAAATCGTAAGAAAATTAAGTAAAGTAGACTTGAATACAAGTTAAGACATCTTTGACATTTCCATTTAATACTTTATAGTCTGACAAAATTATTTGACCCGGTGAGAGTAGTTGTAACCTAGTTAGTTATGTCAAAAAAATATGACAAGATGACAACTATTGTTTTTGCTCACCTGGCCAAATAAGTCTGTCTTACTATACTGCGTTTTAAAACTTGGTCTGACTTCTCAAATACTGCAATCATCGATTTCGACCAAATAATGATATATTCGTGATAGTTTGTTTATAAAAAATAATAAAAGGTTGTCAAATAAAAGCAATTCGTCGTTCGCTTGTCAAACATGTATCCCGCTTCTTCGTGTGTTGATATTAATATTATAATGTTAAGTGAAGATCTGTGAGTATTTTATGTAATGTTATCTTATCTATATATGTAAAAATCAATTGCCGTTCGTTAGTCTCGCTAAAACACGAGAACGGCTGAACGGATTTATCTTATCTTGGTCATGAAATGTACGTGGAGGTCTAGGGAAGGTTTAAAAGTTGAGAAAAATCCGAATAATTGGAGGGAAAACCCTTTAGGAAGCTTTTTTTAATTCGCGGGCAACAGCTATAATATATACTCGTATATTCTTAAACTATAGGGAAAGCTGTTGCTGACACAGTCGCGTGTCGATTTATCGTTATTTTTTTTTTACGTTTATTTTTATCAAAAAAATCAGAAAGCTATGAAAATAATATTCAAGCTACCTGATAATTTATGTGTCATTTATTTTGCTAAATAGTAGACATTGAATTAATTGTCTAAATACCAAAAGAAATATTTGTATTATAATATATGTTATTCCTGAAACAACAGCACTGATTAATTGCTCTGGTAAACCAATTACGTAACCAACATACAACTCTTCAAAATACATTTTATATAATAGTTATTTTGTTTACAGATTTGAAATAATGAAGAAATACCGCTATTTTACAATTTAATTATATTTTTAATTCTAAAATACTTACAGATCTATTCAAATAAAGTCGAACATGGATAAGAGCGAACTGGATTAGTGATATGTCTATAAGCGAGTCATTGCCCGCTCCCGACGAACGACCGCCATAAGGGAGAAACTCAATAAGCGAGGGAAATATCGCGCTCTCTCGGATTATCGCATATCCAGGTTCGACTGTACCTGTGGGTTTCCACTGATGCGACAATTGTATAAAACATACTATCTTTCAAATTCTCTTTGAATAAAGATAAGTACATGTGTTTATACAATTGTTTTGGCAGTGTAAACTCACTTTAATATCTTATAACGAAGACCATGGAAAGCTGTTTTAATAATTTTATTATAAATTAAAAAAACACTAAAGATTTCTTTGTTATTCCTACTGCTGAAATTTAAAGATGAAGAATTGTTTAGAATATTTTGTATTAAATATTGAAATTTGTCCTATTTTTATATAATAATGCATGGTCTTCGTTTTAAGAATCCGGTGTTTGACCGGTCTGTTAATATTGTTATAACTATGTATCAATACGACATTGTATATTACCTTGTTGTTAACTTTATAAGTCAAATGAAAGGTAGAATAAAGATTTAAGAAAGATTCAGAGTGATTTATAATAGTAACATACAGATATCTTATTCAAGAATTACCCGGTAATGTCTTAATGGCAAAAGCAAAATGGCGGATACTTTTTGACAGCTGTCAATGAATTCACAATATTTTATCCAACTAAAGAGAAAATAGGTCATGAAAGAGATTAATTAAATTATTTAACGTTCATAATTAGATTATTTTCAGTTTTCTTTTATCTGTCAATATGAACGTGTTAACTGTACATCGTGTTGTTTCTACTGACAATTGAGTCATGCATATCACCATCCTTGTCACTCTCATTGAAAAAGACAGAGATAAAATTTTTCTTGTATCATATTTCGCCAGTTGTAACCCACTTTAATTTAACCTTTGTATATTATTTGACATTCATAATTGCTATCTGAAACTTTTACTAATAGTGGTACTATCATTTCTTGCCTCATTTATTCATTATTTACATAGAAAATTACTTGAATTTAATACAAATTCATCATTTTATAGCACGGTATTAGAAAGCTTTTTAAAGCTTGTTCATAGCTGCTTGGCTTAACGACGTATTATTATTTTAGAAATAAAATTGATGATATAAAAGGTAAGATCCTATTTAATGGTTTATTCATAAAAAATAAGATTTGTTAATTTAGATAGAAATGTTGGGGATTGTATATATTTTATCTGTTAAATTCCAAGACAATTTTTATATGTAGAGCAATGGCGGCTATTTATGTAATTCTTTATTTTATAATTTTAATAATTATCAAGTTTCTTTTTTTTTAATTTAAAAAGAGTTGCTTACGAAAATAATTTACAGATTAAAAAAAAAATTAGCTGTCACAATTCTTCATATAAGAAATCCTGTAGTTATATTGATAGTTAGTAGTTGTCAGAATGATTTAGTTTAAGCTTTTTATCGTGATATTAAAACTACTTTTTATAACAGGTAGAAATAACGCATCTCACTTCCGAGACAACAAATATAACAGTATCAACTTACGAAGTGCATCAGCAAATGCAGCAATTGCAGATTGAAGAGAAACATTGCTGAATTTATGTGTTCATCATCATCAGCTCACTATATGTTCCCACTAATGGGCTCGGAGCCAACCCTAAGTTAGGGGTGTGTGGTGTTTAGTACGTTTTAAATTTGCAGGATGTGTTAGGCTTATGTTTAAAATGTGTGCATGTTTGGTATAGCTTTGCTCTATACTCTATAGTAAATGTTAAGTGAAAAATACGTCAGAATTTTGGTTTTCATTGTCGTAAACAAAAAGATATAGCAATTTTTTTCATTGTGAAATTATTATTTTTCTGTAGGCGTTAAAATCAATGTTGATATTTTCCAGTGTTGATTATTTTGTTTATTGCAAAGTTTATTTTAGTTTCGATAATGATATTCAATATAACAGATTAAAAACCATTCGTGTATTCATCATTCATATTATCTGTTGAATTTGTCTTTTTTTTGTAAACTATAGAAAATCACATTACAGATTAAAAATATTAACGCAGTTAAGTATTCGCATCATCAAAAACAATTGAATTTAAATCTCAACTTTTAATGTCTGTAGCTTTTTTTCATCAATGATTTAATGACTATTCGCCAAATTATGTGCTCAATTAAAAAGTGCGTGTACATATTTGAAGAAGAAATATAAACAGTAAGGCATTGTATCTGCAATATTTAAAAAAAAATTAAAGATTCTATTAGAAATGTGCCCATTTCGATATTCTAATTAATTGAGAACGCTTAATAACATTTATATTTTGCGACATTTGTTTGATTTGTTGGTGTATAATTAAACAAGTGGTCGTGTGGTTTTTTTAACTATTTCTTGAATAGTTACTTAAGTAATGAAAATAAGAAAAATAGCCGGCGTTCTCGTAGCACACTTATATCCAACGAACTTCCAATGCAACATTGTTGCCAGCATAGGAAAAAAGTTTATAATAATTTGAATGTTGCCAATACAAAAAGAAATTAATAAGAATGAAACAAAAACAATTAATAATTTTTGTGAATTAACTGAACAGTTGGGATTTTTTTTTACTTTTTATATCTAGCTCTCTATTTTAGTAACCATATGGTTGCTTTGCTAATAATTTAATAAAAGAAATACGTATCTGCAAGACAAAAATATATATGTCATAAAACGAATCTCATGCAAAGCTGCTATTGACCTTAACTCGATTTTATTTTCTTTTAAAAAGTACGATCAGGACAACTATTATGATATATTTTAAACATCCAAACCGTTTATCTATTTTTATAAACGGTCAATTTTATGATCTGTTTTTTTTTTCTTTTTTTAAAATCTACATTTCTTCTTGTATTTTGTCTTAAAACAAGGATATCTAGTAAATATGATAGAAATTGACATTTTATGAAATTATGAAAAAAAAGTTTTTTTTTTAAATTCATTGTACAATTTTCAAAAGCAAAGTTCACAAAGCGATTTGACAGATTACATAATTATTTTTAACACATTCATTCCTCTATATCTATTATTTGTCAGTGTGTTTGTAATATTTAAGTAATGAGTGAAATGTGTAGATGATAACCTACTGCCATAGAATATAAGGTTATTTATTGTAGTCATGGACGTCGCCAGGGAGGCCAAAATGGCGCAGCTGACCCGCGCCCCATTTTTTTGTAGAGAGCCGAAAAAATGTTAAGTAATAAACCACTTCGAAATACTAAAACACTTACAAACCCTATAGATCAGTGGTTCCCAAACTCATTTTGTCTACTGCCCACTTTGAGAATAAATATTTTTTTAGCCCCCCCATATTTTCACATATTTAAAAACCACTATAATTTCAAATTAAATTAATTAATTATTGTGACCTATATATGTATATTAACGGAGAATTCTAAGCGAAACTTTTACTATAACCCGCAACTTGAGACCTGGAGCGCCCACAAGGGGGCGTTATCGACCACTTTGGGAGAGACTGCTATAGATCTACATAGAGAACCTCAAAAATTACTTGTCAGTTTTTCCATTCCATAGATAGTAACAATTTGGAATTAAAAAAAAAAATTACTGCCCCCACCCCCCTTGATCATCGGTTGGCGATGCTCTTGATTTTAGTCGTATTTTAGACTCATTTATATTATGCAAGTGGTATTTTATTTTTGCTCATTAAAATTAGTGGCCATAAAATATATTTTTTTTTAATTTTTCATTAGATATAGACTGATTTTATTTAAACTTCGACAGTGAATCTTATTAGAATTTTTTCTAAATATCTTTTTTTAGTCAATTAGTTTTAAGATAATCGCCATAATACCTGTAATCTCTCCTTGCTTTAATATTGTGGATGTTTTTATTTTTAAGATTTCTTTTCTTTAGCTATAAGTAGGAAAATTGTCTGACCTTTTATATCTTATTTTTATATGCGTCATATTAAAGCATATATGTATAACATCTCATAAAAACTTGTTATATTTACAGTTGGCATTTACATTTAATATATTCGCTTCAAATAATATTACATGTTTAAAATTAATAGATATGAAGATAGCCTTTCGCTACATTTTACTGTTATGATATGTCTCTGTTCCAGTAAAAATAATTTTTTGGTTTATCAAAAATAACTAGTCTTTATTTTATTAGCTGTTGCCCACAACTTCGTGAGTGGAGAATTAAAAAAAAACTATCTCTCGCATATATCAGGTAACCTTCTAGTAAAAGTCCCGTCAAAATCGCTTATGCCATTCCGGAGATTACCCGGAACTAACACGGACAGAGGACAGACAAAAAATTAAAAAAAAAAGTTTATAGCAAGCCAGTATGTACTTGGACTAAAGAGTTTTAATACTTAAAAATGTTTAAACCATTCGCGTCACGTCTTTTTTTAATTCATTGGAATACATATATTATTTAAATCTTGTTTTTTTTTAAATTTTATTTTTTCATTTTACTGCTGAGCGGAGACAATCATAGACATATTTTTGACGTTGAAACTGTTGTTATTATGTATTGTACAGCGTTTTGTACTGTCTTGTTGAACATTGCTAGTGCTATTATATAATGTTTAATCAATGTATTTGTATTGTGGAAAAAAAGGTACTTATCTGTATATCAAGAAGATATTCTAATAAAAATGTCAAATGGAAATTTTTCGTGTTTTATTTCAGTCAATTTTTCTTTAGCAAAAAAAAAAATTATGTCCCTTTTTTAAATATTTTCGTTGCACTGTTATTACACTTTGTGATTTCTGTTTTGTAACACCGTAGATTCAATGGGTTTTGTTGTAACTTACATATTTATGTGTATTTCACGGTTTTTTTTGTTGAGTTTTGTGCTAACACACAGGTGCGTGGTTGCTGTGTTATCATTGTGAGGTAAGATTTTGTCTGTTTGTGTTTGCATGCTTTTTTAACGATTTAAAATATTTATATTTTTATACTGATTTCAGTGACAAATTTATTACTGCTATAATCAATGGACCAATATAAATAATGTTATCTACCATTAAAATATTGTTTTTTTTATCCCAGCATCAAAGAGCTTGCTTAAAAATTAAATATGGAACATGTAGTAGCAGAACGATTTTTTTTTATATTTAAGGAACTTTGAACAACTTTAATTACTTTTAATTCCAGTGTTGTTTGTGAAAATTGTCCGGTTTTGCAATCTACGTGTTCCGTATGTTTTTGCTAGAAACTTCATTACAGTGAGAATTCTTGACATTTAAAATCTGATTTTTTTTTACAGACGAGGTTATAATCGTGATGGGAAGAAAACACACCAAAGAAGATAAAATGTCCTCAGTAGATATGTGTAAAATAATTTTAATAAGAATTTATTGAACTAGATGTACTGTATTAAAATTAAGTAATAATATATTTTTTCAAGTATTAAAATGAGTTGAACGTTGTTAAAAATGTTTGGGCTACGAAATATATTCGTAGAAATTGTAACTATGGGCTTCCGCTGCGTGACACTTGTTTTAAACATATTGCCATCCCTTACATTCTCTTTAAAAGAAACAGAGAAAACAATTTGTGTGTCAATTCAAGTGTCAATGCAGTAGAAACCAACATTAAAGATTATAAAAAGGTGATCAAATTCTGTACGGTGCAAATAAAAATTTCGTGTCATGATTTCACGATAAACTCTGAAACTCCTAAACCAATTCTTATCAAATTTTCCAAGCATCTGTAATTTGGTCCAATTTGGGAATTGGGTAGTTTTTATCTCAATTATTGAACTTTTTTTTATTCCACGCGGACAGAGTCGCGCACGAAATTTTGTAATTTTATATGTTCTTAGCTAAGTTCAAATGCACTGTTAATATAAGATAGATTGCTACTATGCTACTCAACCTTTTTTTATAATATACTAGTTTTTTCATGATTTTTAAAAAGCGACGACAAGGTGTCTTTATTGCATTTATTAGAATTAATTATATAGGAATATGATTTCATTTTTTTATATGCAGTGTTTTGTTTTTATAATTTTTATATCCGTCCAATTAAAAGACTTCCTTCCACTTTAACGGGAAAAGTGGAAAAGTGAATAATAAATAGTGGTATTGCGAACAAGCTCATATATTAATCGTTTTTGGTACGAATGTCTACCGTGAAAATTGTTGATTGTAAAATAATCTGCTATTGTACAGGTTAAATACCTCCGCCTTTCTTTTTAAAATCTTTTTTAATGATGAAAAAATCATACGAATGATGTATGTTAATAAAGAATTGATGAAATTTGGTTGTTTTATTGTTTGTAATTTATCTATCTTTAAACTGATATAAAAACGGCTAAACATTCACGTATGTTCATCCGGTGGCGGCACCGACTAGTTTCGAACCCATCGGGGTTCAACAGAGTGAGTGGGACTGGTATTATTTCGCAGACACAGTGAGCGGTGGGCTCGAAACTAGTCGGTGCCGCCACCGGACGAATATACGTGAATGTTTAGCCGTTTTTATATTAAAATGCATCTTTATTCAAAAGTATGTTATGGTTTTTAAAAATGAATTTCAGTATACTTATTGTATGGACACTTTTATTAAATAACATATGACTATAAAACTTTAAAACAAAAACAAAATTTTAATAACTAAAATGGTACCTAAAGTTAATAACTCCATTTGGACTTGACGTAAGTACATAATGGTTTAATTATATTAAACGATACTGGACAGAACAAAAGTTAGAGATTAAATTATTTCGCGTCCTTTTGGTGTTTCTTGATGGTTTAATTTAACTTTATATTATCAAAGCATTTTCTACGTCGCTTTCGAATTTTGGCAATTTAACTAATGATGCAGATTTGTTGGTAATTTCTGATGAGTTATACATTTCAAAGACGGCCCTTTTAATTTCAGTTAATTGAAATATATCGAAGGTTTCTTTCCGATGGTTACAAGTTGCTTCAAGTCCAGATTCATGGCAACTGATACATTTTTCTTCCAGAAATTTCGAACTGACAATTGTTATTTTTCTCTCATCGCTAATACAGAGCATATCTTTATTTAATCTGTTTATTAATTTTATCTTATTTACATTAATATTTTTGTCTAAATTCGATTTTTGAATTTTATTATTGCAATGATCTGTCTGTGTTGCGTTCTTATCCTTATAATTCTGTCTTAAATAGGAACTTAATTCACTTTGTCTATCTATATCGTAATTGGATAGATCGTATAGAAAGTCTAAATTATCATTCTTGTCAAAAAACTGATTCAATCTTTTAATATTTTCAGCACGACGATGATAATTCGCACTGTTACGTACAGAACGACGTGCTTGCCTCCTTCTTATGCCTGTAAGGCCTAGTTTTGTTGCTAGAATTTTAGTTTGCTTTTTCCTTTTCTCACATTCTTTTGGATATGGATTAAATTTTTTATGTCTATCTTTTGTTTGTACTGTAAATAGGTAATTATTTACATTACTCTTTGGTCGTACACGGACAACTCTATCGAAATGACAATAACCGTATGAACTTGTGGCATTCAAGAAATGTGAGTATAAAGTTGATGCTTTAATTTCTTTTGATAGTCTGTTAACGTTTTTATCGTTGATATTTCTATTACTATAATCCAATGAAGGCATCACACTTGAACCTTTTCTTATTCTTTTCTCTTTCTTAATACCTTTATTAAAATCTTTTGCACAATCTACAATTTTTTGTAGCACTTTATTTTTTATGTGTTTGTAATTGGACATTTGTTTTGTCAAACTGTAACGTCGGTATGGTCTAAGAGTTGCACTGCTGTAGTACAATTTTTCATTTTTTATTTTACTATGTTTTGATTTTCGACTATCGTTAGTTTTGCTGCTATTGTAATGCTTATTCTTTCCTTTACTACGATTATCACTTATTTCAGTACTATCGATGGCATTGTTTTGTAAATCTATATCGCTCATAACAGTACCTTTGTTATTTGAATGAAGCATTGCATAATTTTCTTTAGATGCATTATTACTTTTAACAGATTTTGTCAAGTCTATAGTAAATTTGTGTACCGAATAAGCGTAATTATTAACAGCCTTAATTGTTTCTGATGAAATACTTTCAACTCTTTCAGTTATTCTTTTAGAACTGATCGAAATATTACTATTACCTTTAAGATCTTTTGTTTTTAATTCGTCGTTTTTGCAGTTTTTGATTAAAATTTTTACATTCATGCAATTTTTACTGTTTTTGCGTAAAATTGAATTTCCAGACTCGTTTTGAAATAGATATACCTCTTTGTTTTTACTGTTGATATCGCTATCTCTTTCGCATAGGTTTATTTTATTATCTTTTATTATTCTGTCTTTACTATCTTTTATGTTTACGATCATTGCTCTATCCTCGCCATGTTTGCATCTTATTTTGAATACTATTTCTATAAAATCACAGTCACTTTTGTCATTACCTTGCTCATCGTTGCATGTATCGATACCGAGACAAATTCGTTTACCAGAATCTGATGTTATTTCAGCATTTGGTTGGATTTCTATATTTTTTCTAATGATACAGGGTGTATATTCATTATTATCATCATTATCTTGGTTATTGTCAACGAAATTATTTGTTTCCTTGTTAACTATGATATTTTTAATTTCTTTTTTGCTTACCGTGGGAGTTGTGGGAGGACATTTCTGGTTTACTCCGGTGGTTTCTTTACTCGACACCTTTGTAGTGTCGTTCGAGTTACCATTGTTACACTCGATATTGTCACCTGTTGTCCAACACGCCCTCGATACATTTTTCCTAATTGGCTGCTTCTTAAAATGTAATCCTACCAACTTTCCCTTTTTACTCATATCTAAATCTGTTCCGGGCGCTCCGCATGATTTGTCTTCAACAGAAGTAGGCGCTGTTGAAAGTTTTTGAACGTCAGTGGTGATAGCACACTTTCTAAATTCTGACTTGATTTCTTCTCTTAAATTCGAGTTAGACTGTTGTGGACGACATTTTGAGTTTTGACTGTTTTTAACAGATTCTTCTGATGATTTTCTATCTGCGACAAACTTACGACATATACTATGATACTTATTTTTTATTAAACTACTTGGCTTGAAATAATCCGAGAAGAATCCTGATTTTGTGTCATTAATCTTTTCACATGTTTTTTTCTCTTCTTCTAACGAATTGTCACAACACAAATGCTTCTTCCAATTTGTTATACAACTGTCTGTAACACTTAGTAGATGGTCTTTTGAGGCGCTTTTCAAACATTTAACCTCAGCATTATCGCAATTATTCGATGTCCTATTTGTCACACCTGAACTAGTTGCTGTAATCGCAATGTTTTGACGTGTTGGTTTTTTCTCTAGTTTAGGAAGTTTCCTGCCTGTTTGCATTGAATCGGAGACATGACAGGAAGACGATAAACATTGTAAGTTCTTCTTCCTTATATCGTTTTCTTTTAATATCGATTTAGATTCCTTGTCAACTTCATAATTAGAAATTGTAACACGTTTTTTGTTTGGTTTGATAGATATGAATTTTCTAAAATGATGTTTTGATTTTGTTGAGCTCGACAACGAAACAGAGAGGTCGTCATGTTTCCATCTTCCCTTATTGCTGTCGGAGTAAAGTTTTCTTTTCTTGCATACTTCTAATGAGTCCTTCGGCGTGATGCGAATTCCGATGTTGTTATTCAGATAATCGTTATTGTGACCTTTTAATAAAGATTTTTTACGTTTGTCCTTTCCACAGTTGCCGAATGTTTCACCGGATGACACAAGAGTTGTGTACTGGATATCATCGGTCATATTTGAATATGATTTAAAATTATAATCTTTATTCGTATTATAAGATGGTTGTAAGTTGGTATCACTGATACACCATAAATCTAGATCTAATGGATTCCAATTATGATAAAATTTCCGTAGATAAACATCAGATTGTTTGTATGTTTTTGGCACTAAATATACGGTTCCTTCTAAATCATCTCCACTTTCGGTACTCATATCATATCTGAAAATTATAAAATTTATTTACGAGTACAAATGCTGTTTATGGTGGTCACTTTAATAGTCAAACCATAAATTGTCTTTCTTAACAAGGATCGGAGTAAAGTAGATTTTAAAATACACTATCTGATATTGTTAACTTTATAGAAAAATTTAGCCACAATTTTCATGCAAAATCTACTATCTCTATGTCTCTATTACTAGTTAATTCATGATAACTTACACTGGATAGTTTAATTTTCCTAGATTCTTCTGAGTGGCAATTTCTATTCCGACAGCATTACAAGTTTTGGGTGCGTTTAGTTCATTGTCCTGAAATATATCAGTACTGTAGGACCTTTTAATTTTTTTTATATCCTCTATATCGTTAAACCTGCAATTTGTAATATCTTTCATGCAACTTTCATTTATAATTTCAGTACATTTTTCTTTTTCAAAGTTTTGCTTTAATGCATTCGCTGTACTTTGTCGGGGTGTTTCATAATCAATAATTTTGCATACTTCTTCGTTACTTTGCATTGCAAAAGATTGATGGATAACTTCACTCATGCATCCTAAGGAAATGTCAACCATTATACTTTCAGGCTTTGGTATAATTTTCTCTTTAATATTGATGTCATTGTTTAGAGTAACGTCATTTTTAGGATTCACGTCTTTACATTCAAAATATTTATTTACATCACTATTTTTCTTTTTGTTACATTTGTCAGTTCTAGCATTCCAATATATTTTAGGTTTAACTAACCTATCTAATATTGTTTTCGTTAACATCCAAGCTTGAATATATTGATTTGAAAAGTTCATGAATGGGCTTTTATTAACTTTATGAAATGAAGAGTTATTTGTGACCGTGGCGGTCGTAGTCAACTGTATATCTGTTTCAGAACAACTGTTCTCTCCAATATCAGTAGAGCTACTGCAGTTACTTTCCACACTACTGCTGTATTTTGTACTTCTTTTTATTCTCGGCTCATCTGATTTCGTTAGAAAATTTCTAATCCATGCATTTATTAACTTATCTTCATATTTAAGACGAAATTTTTGTATCGCATTCGTATTATAGTCTTGGGGTAATAATCCGTTTCCGATCTGTATCGACATTCCTTCTCGTACCTCGCATCTCCCTGTCATTACATCAGTTCTCGATCTTGGAGCAGCTTTTATTTTCTTTTTAAAAAAGTGGAATTTTTTCCCTTCCTTTTTAACTGATGATTTACTTTTCAATAGTTTAGAAAATTTCACGCTAGCTTCAGACTTCTTTTTACTATCGGAACATTTTATTTTGCTCTTCTTGTGAGATCCACTGTCTATGCTTCTTTTCCTTCCCCACAATTTAAATCTACCTTTAGTTTGATGGTCACTATCAATATCTGAACGGCGCCAGTAAGAACTTTTTTTGAGTTTCGCTTTGCTTTTCTTTTTACTTTTCTCCTTTTTATGTGTTTCCGAATAGTCACTTGTAATCGGGCTGATTACTTTTTTATCGTCATTTTCTGGCAACGAACCTCGATCTGAGTCTACAGAGGCATCTTTATATTTAGCTTCATTAGGGCTTGAAGTTTTTGATATGTTCTTTTTTAATTCATCTTTAAGTGACATATCACGTCTTAACGCTTCGAAGCGTCGTAACAGAGAATCGCTATTTGCTGCAGAGATTTTTTTATTGCATGCACAATCTTTAGATTGATTTGAAAATATTTTTCTATATTCCCTTTCGAGTTTATTTTCCATCGGGTCTATTGTGGCCGTGCTTAAAGTTGCGTTACACGGTTTGTCTAAGTTATATACATGTTGTACTAAAGAATCCAGTGATGATCCAGTACCCATTTTGTTACTCAAAATCCTTGACATTTCAACAGATAGTTCGACTTCAGATTTAAGTGGTTTACCATTTTCTAATAATTCTGTATTTGTTGCTAGTTCCTTAAATATTTTGATTTTTGTTGATTTCTCTAATTCTTTTGTACCCATTTGTGTACTGGCGTTTACACGATTGTGTAATGACAGAGTAGTGCTTACATTTTGTTCTAAATCTTGTTTGCGAAAAAATGTAGTTAAAGGATTCGTATAATTTGATTTTTTTCTTACAAGAGGCGATAGTTTTTTGTTTAACAAATGTTTCTTATTTACTGCTCTTTCTACAACATTCCGATTTGTTTTGTGAGTAAGTTCATTGAAATGGTGACATTTTGCTAAAATAAAGACACTGTTTAAAATATTTAAATTACAATAATAAGAATATTGCTCTAATATTTAAAACGAAAATGAAAAATATCCAGTCAGTGTTTGACACCATTTGTTATTATGAAAAAACATTTTTACTAAATTAAGACTGATCTAGGATAAGATCTGGTATGATTAATTAACTGAAACCGATGTTTAGTAAGAATAAATTCAACTAAGCCAAATACAGAAATCTAAATACAAAAGTAAATAACATACGGTAATCATTAATCGATGTGCCAACAGCTCTTTCCTCGGTCTGTGGCAAATAAATCCTCTTTGCTTTCCTGCGCTGGTACGCTTTAACATTCCCTACACCGATGTCAGTGACTTTTGGTGGCATTTGCTTCAATTTAGTAGTAAAATAACTAGCCTCTTGATACTTTCCAATGGAATCTCGGCACGAACATGTCAAGTGACTCCAATTACTAACATTTTGTAAATCAAAATCTTTGAAATAATTATAACCTAACGGTGTCTGTCTTATTTGAGTTTTTGCATTATCTGGATAGTAATGGTAGCAATAATTCCTTTCTTCAACTATAGCACTTCGTATGTCACGTTTCGTAACATTTATGGCTTTGTTTCTTTTCATTTCTTCTTATATATCATTATTTCTTCATTTCTTTTCATTTTGATACTTTACCTTAACTGTATTTGTTTGAACTGAAAGAGGAAATTGAACTGATAATATATTGGTAAAGACCACGGACTTCCATTTAAAGCGGTTCTGACACACCTCTTTTGCTTTTACATTCAAACATCTACGCATACTTGTACCTCGGTTTGGGGTGCTATTAATACCGTGTTCTTGAGTCTACTTAAAGTCTTGTAGAACTTACCTGTATTGTTAAACATGTACACAGTAATATTAGTTATTACATGTAGATACTTTTAATTTTATATTTTTGCTGAACCCAAAAATTTTCCACTGCTAATTTCTATTATTTTATGTCATTATTATGTCACATTGTCATGTCATGTTCTGTAATGTTTCTTCCATGTTTTTTACTGCCAGAACCATTATGGTCTATGACAGTTTTGTCTGTGCGACACTGACAGTTTTGTCACGTCAGTTTCACTGATGAAGAGATATTTTCGATATAAATATTTTTATTCACTTTAATATCGATAATAGGTTAAAAATACGTTTGAAACATTTACTCAAAATCGAAAGAAACATGATAAGATCTAATGTAAGTCCATAAATGTAAATAAAAGAAAATCAATACAAACATCTCTTTTTTTAATCAAAATTAAATGTAATATATATTACTTCTTATAAACATTATAAATGCGAATATTTGGAGGGATGTTTGTTTGAAGGTATGTCCAGAATGGCTGTATGAATCTCGATGAAATTGGGTATAAATGTAGCACACAATCTAGAAAAACACATAGGCTACTAATTAAGTTGTTTTTAATTCGGCGCGGACGCTGTCGCGGGCGACAACTAGTCAAGTAATAAATTTGAATGTTCTTTGGCTACTTAACTGAATTTAGTATATTATATTAATACAATTGAAGTTAATACTTGTTTCAGATCGTCTCTGAGTTCATATGATATCCAATAATTTCTACAACAAAGTGTACATACAGATAACAACATATAAACAATATTCTAAGTTAAAAGCTGATGAGAACATGAATCATGAAAAGGAAATCATTAAAAGATTTTCTCAACCTGATGATAATACAAAATTTATCTGTTCCATTTGCCTTAACACCAAATCTAAATGTGACGACTACGCGAAACCAGAATGTAATAAAAGGAAATCTAAATCATGTCCTATTTGTCAGAAAGGTGTACATTACCGTTGGGAAGGTTTACCAGAAAAACTTAAACCAGATAAATGCGAAGTGAAAGAGAAAGCTATAAGAATGAGCGATCATACATCAAGCACCAAAACTGTTCAAACATCACAGACAGACGTCACACAAGGATTAAATCTATTAAATGAAGTACTAACTGTATTCCAAAGCAAGAAACAAATTTGCGTAGAAAAAGAGAAATATAATAAAACTGTTATCGTTAAAGATGCATGTGTTGAAACGGAAAGTTGGAGAATTAAAAGTGAAATTAAACCAAAATTAACAATTAGCAAGATGTACCATATATCCATAGCTGAAAGTAATGTATCCGAAAATAATAAATTCACAATTGTTAATTACTCTCAACCGCAAAGAGACAGGAATTCACAATATTCAATCGATCTTATAAAACACAAATCTTCATCTATACCCCAAATGAAATTAGAGGAATTGAAACATTCTTTGAAAGAGAAAACTAAATCAAAAGATGCGATTGAGGAAGTAAATAGAATGTTTGCGACAGTTAGAAAAAACGCACTAATTGAAAATACCGACGATGGTAATCGACCTTTGATAAGAAACGGACCACGAGTGTTACCAGTTGTAAGAGTTAATAAAAAGAACGGACATGAAATGACAACGTGTGGTAGTAAAATTCGTTTTTCATATGATCGAAATCGAGAAGACAAAAGAGGGGAGGAGAAACATTGTAAATGTTGTCAGACGAATAATTATCTGCTGTCCAGTGGTGATTCTTTGATAAAGCCAAGTTGTCATTGCCAGCAGAGGACTTGCGAGAAGGTGTGTGGGAAAGGTGCTTACGTGTCCCATTGTCATACAGGTTGTCGTCAGTTCCACGATGTGTGTGATCATTGCTGTCAAAGGTGCAAAGACAACAGATGTCACCACCATGTCTGTTACGAAGAAACTAATGACGGGGATAGTTGTACTAGCTTTTGATTTATACACTATTTATTTTTGATATTTTAATATATCCTTCAAATATAATTAACTTGGTAAATTTTGACCATATCAGTTTAGTGGTAGCCACAAGCAGCTAAAATAGATTCAAATCTATATAAATATATAAAAGAAAGTCGTGTTAGTTACACTATTTATAACGGCTTTACCGATATGGCTGAAAATTGACGAGGAGGTAGCTTAGAGCCAGGAGACGAACATAGGATTTTTTTTTCGAATTTATGCCTTGAAGTGCTGCTTCTTATTCAACTTACTAATATTATAAATGCGAATGTTTAGATGGATGTGATTTGGATGGATGGATGGGTGTTTAAATATCTCTAAAACAGGTGAAAGGATCTCGATTAAATTTGGCATAAGTATAGAACATAGTCTGAAAGAACACACAGGCCACACTAATTAAGTTTTTTTTTTATATATCCACGCGGACTGAGTCGCGGGCGACAGCTAGTTTGTAATAAAAACATATACAAATTACTATAAAATTTTATTAATTTAATTTTTAATTGATCAATACAAAGTAAAATATAAATTTAAAAAAAATAAAATCAAAAATAAAAACTCTCCGTTGAGCATTTCTTCTCGCCTCTGAAAACAGAAAATACAGAATTAGTTTTTCTTTTTTTTAACCGTGTTAAGATACTTTATCTTACCATAAAATTATTTCACTGAACTGAAGTTATGACTTCAAATGGAGTTTCAAAATTATTTAAAGGTTACTTTACCTAATGTCATGTTTGCATTTATTTCTTTCTAACTTCTCGCTGTGAGGACGTTCCCATTCACGAGGTGTTTCTTGACTGCAACAGATTATAAAGATAAATAACTCTACATGAATATAGCTTTATTTATACCTTGTAATGCTTACTCTCCTAATCCTAGACTAAAGACAGGTCCACTTGTGTGTTCATTTTTAAGGATATTCTTGGTTAAAACTTTCTTTAACGTATTTGATGAATCCACAAATTTACACATGCATTCGTTTAGACTCTGCATTTTAAGTAACAGCTTGTCTTTCTGATTGTCTTCTATCGGACTATCGATTAGTCTTTCAAGTTCTTTCTTAATCATTCTATAGTTGTTCTTTAATTCTGGTATATCGTTCCATTTTAAATCAGTGTTGACAGCTGCATGTTTTAGTATTTTAATCTTCGGTGTTACCGTTTCTATGATAAATTCACCCTCTTCTATTATATTATCTGCTTGTTTATAGTAAGGTTGTCTCATTCCGTATTCATCTATGATTGAAGCGTCATCGCTTAGTCCGTCTTTTGTTTTAGACATGACAAGTTTTAATAGATTTTCTAGGCCGATTTTATGATGGTTCAGTAGATGTCTGTCTAGAACTGTTATGCTGGAACATAAGAAATTTCTTCATATATTTTATTATGTAATTTTAAAGAGTAAACAACTATTGGAACTGCTTTTACGTCGACAACAACGTTTAAATTGTCTATGGAATATTATAATCAATTACGGAAATGTTAGTGCAGCTGCTTAAGCAATTATTCCATAATTTCTAAGAATGTAACCTTTAACAATTGTTATTTCAAACCTACGAGTTAATAGAGATTGGATGTATTGTGGTCATTATTTATAAAAAAGAGAAAATAATATATTATTTTAGAAGTATTTCGGCAATGGTAATTTATATATTTAACACAACAATTGAAAGATATCACGCGCTATCTTAGTAGATGCTTATTCACCTTACTCTTGAAGAAAGCAATGCAGCTGGAGGAAAATACTGATGGCAACTTATTCCAAACCTTCGCTTCTGATATTATGTTGTCTTACCGATCAGCATCAAAGGAGCACAGATGACAGGAATATTTTTCAGGTCTTCCATCATGTAATATAGTTCTTGTGGTGCACTCTGACAGTGCATGATCCTTTAACAGATTCGTAGACCTATGATTCCGTGGAGATGGTTCCTAAAACAAATGTCTTTGAAATAAAAAAAAATCTAAAATCAAACAAGTTTATAGTGATTAGTCTGGAAAGCGTTGAAGTCTCTTGTATGGGACGGTTTGGTTATGAAGTATTACATTTGTCTAGGGTTATACGAGGGAGGGGGGTCACAATCGTTATTCTTTTCTTGTTTGAATTTACTTTTTGAAGGCACATCTGGATAGAGGTCACCTAATTCACACGAACGGCTTGGTCTTTGTAATTTTGTAAATTACAACAACGCAATTCAGGCCCGAATCCAGATTGGTAGGCAGTGGTATGTAATAAATGTCTAACTGTAACGACGCTCTCAGCGCCTTCTTCTTGGTGCACGAAGAGTGTTTTGCTGCGGCAGATGCGCGTGCGCAGCTTATCGAAAAGACGCGTCGCAGATGACGTTCGACTCGGACCTGTGATCCAGGCATAAACAGGTAAAAATGTACGAGGTAACTACCAGTCAATAATATTATAAAATAACATTAACAATCTAAGGTGCAAATGTTTTATCACACAACTTCAAGTTTAAAAAAATATTTGTTTAAAAACAAACAACTTACCTTTTAAGGCTTTTCCTTCGCTACATGGCGAAAAAGATCTTTCCTTTTTCTTCATTAAAGGCAATGAGCTTGTTTTATTCTTTAAAAAGAAGGCAGTATTAGTAAGTATAGAATATTGTTTTACTAAAGGAAAGCCCTACCGTGAATGTTGTTACAAAAACTGCTGGTAAATATTGGCGGCAATCCAATTTACTTCAATTGTGATTATTGGTACAATAATAGGCTACTTAGAGACTAGCCTATTTTTACCTTTAATTTATCCAGTGTTGGAAATTCTTCAGCTGCACAGTTGTGATGTAGTTGTCTATGCATCATCAACGCGCTTTCGAACTTCGCCGTGAAATCACATTGCGAACAACTGTCACAATAGATTAAAATTTGAAGTTATTATTATCAAAGACCAAGCCACTTAGACAAAGTACATTCGCTCCGAAGCGTATAGAAGTGATGCGTGACAATCATCGAATCGAAAGTTATTGTCACTTTTATATATTTTTGAAGTCCGTTATGGAATCACTACGGAGCGAATGTACTTTGTCTAGGAGAGGAGATTTCCATAGTACAACCCGAACATTTACTCGTGTCTTGCAAACCTACTGTTATAAAAGTTTAAAAATGTCTTTTAAAATTTAAAGGATGACATAAAAGTCGCCTTGAAGGTGGAGTAAAATACATATGAAAAGTACTTCGAATAACAACAAATTAATGGTCGCTGGTTACCCTAAAACTAGACTAGATTATCGGCTGGCGATGCTCGTGAGCCCATGATAATAAGTTTTAGGTATTTCGACTATGGTCTTGAGTAATTTGTTGCATATTTTACATTTAAATACATACATTTTAATAAAAAAAATTCTTACCAATGACTCATAATATCAAATAAGTTAAAACTAAATTAAATATAAATATGAAATACAAATTGGCGGAACAAATAAAACTGATTGATTTGACGTAACTTTGAAAGGTAAAAATAGATATAAAAAATTACTAAATGCAGGTCTCATATAACATCCATGAAGGTATGTTTTAAGAAAAAAATTGGCAAAAATTTATACTCAAAATTGAGTACATCTTTACTTTGGACATACGGATTTATATACAATTATTTAATTGTTTTCCCCTTCCCATGCTTATTTCCTTACTCAGAAATATCATGAAGGGTAAGAGGATTAGGACTAAGCCTTTGGCACACATAGGACAAAATGCATAGAAACAACGCATATTTCTTCCGACTGGTCCTGGTATTTTATTGGTTGTATTTGGGGTGATATTTATGCAGTAACTGCTAGGTACTGCTACAGATTCTACTACACTGTTATTTGAAGATATTAAACAGCGATCTCAATGATTATAAATCTACAAATAACTAATAAGTTAAACCTTAAACATTATAATACAAAATTAAAAAAGACTATGCCACTATCTATCATAGTAACATTGTAATAAGTACTGTTGATTAGTCTGTTTCTAAACGACCACCAATGCCTTTCGGACGCGTAGATACATCAAAACGTGTGAAATCATCAGTAGTTCTTTAAACACAATTGCATTCAATTATGTCTTTTTCTTCGTTGTCCTACGATAACTAAATCCTTTGTACGCGCACTATCGCGATCATTTAATTACAAACTTCAATACGTAACTGTAAAACTGAAATTGAACACAATATCGACGATTTTGTATGGTAATAAGGTATAGATTTGGACATTTGGTATTTAAAATTATGTTTGTAATAGCACAAAGCCTCTTTTAAAGCCTGGTAACATCGTGTTCGCGTCTCGCATAGCGGCATTTTGCCCGCCGTCCGCCCCGCCCGCGCCCGCCATTCGCTATCGGGGGGCCGGCGTGAGCGCATGTTCGGTACACGGCAGTGTTCGACTTTTACACGTTAACACAAAATCAACAGCACAAAAAGAAGTTGTACCTGGCAAACATATGACAGCGCCAATCATCGTATAAGCGAATAAACTGTGAGTTTTGCAAGTTTTCTAAATAAATCAAGCAGAAGAACCGGTCGCAAAACTTCTGTAGGAAGTAGGTATAGTAACAGTTATATAAAATTGTAATACTGGGCTCTCTTTCGCAGGTACACCGAGTGAACGAGTTGCTCTTTTGTTTTGTGATATAAAAACCGAAGTTTGTTTTGTTGTAAAAAAGTGCCTTATAGACGTTGGTTGTTTAGTGAAATCGAGTGTTGATCGTTCAGGTGAGTTATAAAAAGTTATTTTTCAATGCTTCTTATTTGTACGCTTTCTCCAGACGTTTTTTTAGGGTTGAATGCATCGGTGCGGACTAAATTGTGATGTGTTTATTTTAAAGTATTTCACAATCGTCGTTAATTTATTTTAATGTATTGCTTTCTCTAAAACTGTGTTTATGTTTTAATAGCTTTTGCCAGCGTCTTTGTCCGCGCGGAATTGAAATGAAAAGATATGTAGTCTACTATGTTACTCAGTGTTAGTGTAGGTTTCTTGTGACAAAAGATTTTTTTTAATTGTTCCAGGAATTTATTGGTACATAAAAATAAAATCTTCATGTTATTAGTATAGATTTAAATTAGTGTATTAAC